AAAACTCCAAAGAAATCATTGCTAAGCTAACACCTAGGTGAAGCTCTGTTGGACAAGCTCCCATCCCTTAATCCATTCATCCACAGACTGCCTCATGGGGACTTCACCCACCCAAACCATCAGCATCTCGTATATATGACCCACCATCTGTGAACGTGCTCCTGCCAGCTTAAGGCAGCTTTGATGAAGAGCAAACACTGGTGCTCCAACAAGAACCGAATCCAAAACCCTCTGCACTCTGCAGCCACTGCTCCTGTTCTCAGCCAATTAGTTACCAGCAGGACTACTGGAGGGCTGGGTCTATAAACAGAACAAGGCGCCCACTGGGGAAACGGAATGGTGTGTGCTTTGGCCCCATGATAAGAAAGGCTTCCAAGAAAAGATCAACTCATTGGCTTACCCTGCACAAAGTTACTGGCATAGATGGTGCCCATGAATTCTTTTATGTTGCAATTATATTGATTAGACTGAAAAAAATTTTTTAAAAAATGGGTCATCATGGAAGAGGAAAGGATGCTGGACTTGTGGAGATCAGTTTATGTCCAACCATTGCACAAAGTATCTGGCTTCAGAAAACTCGCTGTCCCGATGCACAGGGACCTTGTACAGCAGGGACACCTGCGTCTGAACTGAGGTCTTTCCTAAATGTTATTTCAGTAAGAAATGGAGGGAGAAAGAGGAAGAAGATGACAGCAAGAGGGGAGGAGAGAAGGAAGAGGCAGAAACTGATTTTCTGAAATGCTGTGTACCCGGTACTGTCCCAAGTTCCTCCCTTACATCATCTCATCTAACCTGTCTAAACTCTAAGTCCTCAAATTATTTTCATTCTATTTACACCTCCCAGACCCTGCTTTTCTGACCTGAGAAAGAGTAGATAGCACACAGAGCAGAACCGTTACTGTGTTAGCACCCAAGGCCTGGTTGGGAGAGATGTGAATTTCTAGTCAAGACACCAGCAGGGTCCAGTCAAGAAAGAACCAACTCACAGACCTGGGGTATCCTTTACAGAGAGGATGTTGTTGTTAGGCGCCATCCAGTCAGTTCTCACTCACAGTGGCTGTACCAAAGAACATATCGAAAGAATGAAACGCTGCCTGGTCCATGCTCACAATCAGTATGTTTCAGGCCACTGTGGTAGCTCCTTTGTCAGTCCATCTCTTGAGAGTCATCTTCTTTTTCTCTGACTCTTGACATTATCAAGTATGGTGTAGTGAGTTGCATGGTATGGCTTTTCTAGCCATAGTCTTTGTAACTCCCACTAGGTTACTAGGTGGGACCACACAAATATCTGTCAACTTGGCTGGGCAGCTGGTAGTAATTATTTCCTATAATAAGACTGGCAATTAACTCCATGGTGGCATTTGCCATAAGCAACTAAGCAGCTGCTCTTAAACTCCTGATTGTTAAAGTTGTCCACCCAGTGTATTTATTTTGGAGCAGTACAAAGTAATCTTCTGGGAAAGTTCGCTCTCTCTCTCAGGTGTATAGAACTATGATGTTGGGATTGGTTGATTTTGCCACTCTGCCAGGCTCAAAAGGAGCCCTCCTAGAGGCAGGGGGAGACTCTCACTGCTGGCTGAGAGAGATACCCAGCTGATAGAGATGCCTGGCTGAAAGAGATGCCTGGCTGAGACAGATGCCCAGCTGAGAGAGACATCTGGCTGAGAGAGACACTCAGCTGAGAGATGGCAGCAGTGGAACCAAGAGGCATGAGAAAGAACAACAGGCTACCTGGCCCACAGAGGCAGAGGCCAGGCCGAGAGGCCAAGGGCCAGAGAGGTGTGTCTAAGGGCACAGCAGAGGGGAGACTGTCCTGATCGAAGAAGTGCATCCCGAGTGTGTTCCTGAACTTGAATTGTAGCCTGTTGCTTCCCTAAGAAACGCCATACTCTGTGAGTTCTACATGGCCACTGCAGCAAATTATCGAACCCAGCTGAGAGGTGGTGGTGCCGTGAGAGGGACGGATGGCGTCAAGGACGGTTAGCAGGGCTGGAGGGAGGCCGCATGTCTGGCCTCATACTTGGGCTGCTGATGGTGATTCTGTCTTCCTCTTATGAAGTTACAGGAGGTCAGAAATGCCACCTCTCTGCCCCTTTAGCACCAAGCCTGATGTCCTTCTCCAGGGACTCCTGGTCCCTCCTGATAACCTGTCCGAAGAACGTGAGACAAAGAAAGTCTCACCACCCTCGCTTCTAAGGAGCATTCTACTTTTCTCAAGACGGATTTGTTCCTTCTTCTGGCAGCCTACAGTATATTCGATGTTCTTCACCAACACCGTAATTCAGAAGCATCAATTCTTATTTGGTATCTCTTATTCATTTTGCAGCTTTTGACTGCTTCTGCGGTGACTGTAAACACCACGGTTTGTGTCAGGAGCACCTTAGTCCTCAAAGTGACATCTTTGCTTTTTAACAGAGTGGACACAGGGTGGAACCTCCTGGACAAGTGATCAGTACAACTCTACTCAAAGGAAGAATGCGTCTAAGATGCAAAAAGACCCACAGCATTCTCTCCCCTGAGACATGATGTGTTTTCCATCCCAGTTCCTTAAGAGCTACTTGAGGATCTAAGGAGCCACACTGAAGGAGGGACCCCGCAGTGCCAACACCCTCTTTGAGGAAGCAGACACAGGCATTTGCTTTAATCAAAGGGAAGTCAGTCACAGGGAATTGTTGTAGGTCATGACCTTCAAAAAATGCTGCCATGGTCAGTGGTAGGAGGATGCCCAGGTCAAAGCCAGAGGCCAAGCCCATGGCCATTCCCTGCCATGCCACCCTCCGGAGAAACAAGAGGCATATGCCAGACTAGAAAAGACAACAGTTTTTAAAACTTACTCAAGATGCTAAAATACCTCTGGGAAAACAAATACAAAATCTCAATCAAGAGTGGGAGAAAAATGTGGAATAAAACTCAAAACCATAAAAAAAAAACACAAACAGGTTTGTTAGTCTGATAGAGCTTGGTGAAACCCCTGAGACTATGGCCCCTAGTTACCCTTCAGCTCTGGAACTGAACTCACTCCTGCGGCTTTCAGGCAAACAACAGACAGGCCTATGGGGTGAATATTTAGGCAAATACACTCCTCGGAGAGATCAATCGTGGGAGAACAGAAGGACAGTGTCTGCACAGAGAGAGAGCTCGGGGGCAGGAGTACATGGGAGAGAAGGACCCAGGAAGAGGTAACTACAGGGAGGAAGTAGCAAGAAAGCTGTTACACTGTGGGGAATTGCAGTCAGCCTCATAAGACAAAATGTGTATGAACTGCTATGTGGGAAATGAATTTGCTCTGTAAACTTTCACCCAATCACAACAAAAATAATAATAAAAAAAAATCATTCAAAAAAAGGGAAATGCCCTGGAAGACACATCATATACCAATTAAAGGTTTTCAAACCGCCAGCCTTCAGGCTGGTCAAAACCACTGCCACTGAGTCAATTCTGAAGGAGCTCTGGTGGTGCAGTGGTCAAAGGCGTTTGGCTGCTAACCAAAAGGTTGGTGGTTCAAGCCCACCAACTGCTCCACAGGAGAAAGATGATGCAGTTTGCTTCCATAAATACTTACACTTTCAGAACGCTATGGGGGCAGTTCTGCTCTGTTCCGTGGGGTTGCTATGAGTTAGGTTAGTCCTACCCACTGATGCTGGTCAATTCCAACTCACAATGACCCTATAGGACAGAGTATAATTGCCCCATAGGGTTTCCAAGGCTGTATATCTTTATGGGGAAGGCCTTCAATGAGATGGATTGACACGGTGGCTGCGATGATGGGCTCAAGTATAGCAGGGATCATGGAGCTGGTGTGGGATCAGGCAGTGTTTTGTTCTGCTGTGCATGGGGTCGCTATGAGTCAGAAATGACTTGATGGCACCTAACAACAACAACAACAACAACAACAACATATCTTTATGGAAGCAGACTGCCCCATCCTTCTCCTACAGAGTGGCTGGTGGGTTTGAACTGTCAACCTTTTGTTCAGCAGCCAAATGCTTTAACCACTGTGCCACCAGATCTCCTTTTAGGACAGGAGTCAGGCACAAACCATTTGTACCATGCAGGGAATGTGGAGCAATGATCCACACACCTTCACACCACACACCTTCACATCTCTAAGGCTAGAGAAACTGGGCCTTCAGCCAGCATCCCACTGATGGCACTGACCGTGGGCACTAGAGGGAAACCAACAAGGAATCCTGTCCACGGGGTCAAGGGAACGTGCTGGAAACGGTGGGAGGGAGGGAGGCCCAAGATGTTTCTATGGAGCAGAATTATCAGAAAAATTATTCCAAGAAAGAAAAAAATGACACAACAACTCCTCGCTATGGACTGAATTCTGCCCCCCCAAAATATGTGTTGGAACCCTAATCCTTTATCTGTGGATGGGATCCCATTTGGGAACAGGGTTTTCTCTGTCATGTTCACGAGGCTACCTCAGTGTCCATTGTGTTTTCAACCTACTGACTTTTGAGCTATTCTGAGAGCAGACTCAGATACAGAGAGAAGCCAGTGCACACGGAGGAAGGACAGGCACCACTGGAGATCTCTGAGCCCCAAGAAGGGAGCAGAGAAGCTGAAACAAGGATTCCCCACTGAGCTGACAGAGTGAGCCGTCCCCTAGAGCGGTGCCCTGAAGTCAGACTCCTAGCCTCCTAAACGGTGAGAAAATAAATGTCTGTCCATTAAAGCTCCCCACTTTGTGGTATTTCTATTACAGCAGCACTAGCTAACTATGTCACCCTTGAGACAAGCAAGGGGATGACTGGACTGGCAGGAATTATCAGCAACAGGCTGACTGGTTTGCTAAGGGGGCTTGGCTGCCCCACCCACAGTTTCCCACAGGACACAGCCTGTGCTGGACCCCTGCCTTCCTCACACAAGGCCTCACACCCGGTGGGTGTCAGACTGAAGTGGATGCTGACAATAACATCACACTCACTCCACACCCACAAGGGGCTCAAAACCAGAGGTGTCGGGGCCCCGGTGTTTCCCCAGCTCCCAGTTACCGTCATGGAAGCTGTCTCCCGGGGCAGCGTGGCTGAAGGGCGACTGGGCACACGGCTCCTCACACAGGGAGTAGCTGTGCTCAGCCTGGATGAGGGGCGCAGGCGACTTCGGGGATGGCCCCACCTCCATCGACTCGCTCTTCTCCGAGAGGAAGGGGTCGTTCAGGAGCTGGCCCAAGACGTTCTGGGAGAATTCATCCAGAAGTTCTGAGAAGTGCTGCCGGAAACAAAGGGGGAAGGACTCAGTTTCTCTTCAGCATGGACTGATGCCATCCATACGCACACTGCCGGGGCAGATACACCACCACCGCGTCACATAAAGTCACCGATTTATAGTCCCGTGACCCAGTGTCACACTTGCGTTTGACTGAAAAAACACAGTTCAGACTGGCTAGTAAAGACTGTCTGCCTTGAACACTGCGCTCTTTCAAAATCTAAACTGACGAGAGCAACTTGAAAGATTAGGAACCTTAGGGGGCAGTGCGTTCCTATCGACGGAGGAGGACCGGCTCAGAAAAGGAGGGTGAGATTCTGCCCCACAACTAGAACAATGGAGGAGGACCGGCTCAGAAAAGAAGGGTGAGAGAGCCCCACAACTAGAAGGGCCATCGTCATCAATGTCGCTGAATCACACATGCGCCAACTGTGGCACTGGCGTATATTCTCAAGAACAAAAATCACATTTAAAATACAGACGTGACAGTAACACTTATCACGGTTCCTGTACCAAGTCTAACTGGAGGCGTTACACTCAGAATTAGAGGCCTCAAGTGATGACTTCAGAGTCCCTGTATGGTAGAAACAGTTAACACACTCAGCTGCTGACCAAAAGGTTGGTGGGTCGAGTCCGCCCTGAAGTGCCTCAGAAGAGAGGCCGTGTGCTCTCCTTCTGAACACTCAACCACTGGAAGGCCCGTGCAGCGCAGTTCTGCTGACACCTGGTGGTGCTACGAGCTGGTTTTTAGTAATTTTCAGAAGACTAAGAGCACCCTTGCCTCTTTGGGGAGCGTGGGAGGTAACTGTTTGGTGGCTGACTCTACCAGCATTTATTCGTTCTCACATTCTGTGGGTTGGCTGGACGGGCCCCCTAAGCCACCACGCTGGGCCCGGAGAGGTCAGCTGATAAGAACTGGGCTAGTCTGGGACAGGTGGAGGGCTGGGTGTTTTTCTCAAGGAGGCTGGATCAGACCGGGCTTCCTTACATGATGGCGGCAATGTTCCCTAAGGGAAAACCAGACAGTCACACAACTTCACTGGCTCTGCTTTTTGGTCACAGCCAGGGTAAGGCTGGCTGGAGGATGGGTGGGAAGAGAGACCCTGCCACTCAATGAGGGAGGAGGGGCAGCTCCACAGTGAGGAAGAGTGGGACTGCGGGACATGTGACGCAGGCCACGGCTGTGACCAGACTGCAGCGCTCTGCATTGGGAATATGCTGTCCTCCCACAGTGGACTTCCTGGTGGTGCGCACGGTTGACGCTCAGTTGCTGACCAAAAGGCTGGTGGTTCAGCAGAGCCCTGGTAAGCTGCTTGTGAAACACCAGGGCCTGAAAACCCTCTGGGGTGCAGGTCCACTCTGTCACACGCGGGTCACCAAAGCAGGAGTCGACTGGAAGGCAACAGTCATGTTTGCTTAGTTACTGTTACTAAACAACGTAGCCCCGAGGACGGGCAGCTCTGAAGAACCCCGAGTTAGGTCAAGGGCTTCAGCATCGCCTCTCCTGTAGAAAAAGAAGCTCCTAAGAAGCAGGGGTCAACCATGCCTCATGACCCCCCGCCACCACCAAAAGCAGAGCAACGTGGATGTGCACCGGGCGGGCTGAGGACAGCAACTTGTCGAAAAGTTTCCCAACTAGTCCCAGGCAGATGTGGAGGCTGACCTGGGGACTCCCAACAGTCAGCTCCCCTGGGGCTCCCTGGCTGCTGCTGGCTGCGGGGCCGAGCAGACAGGCCAACATGATCCTGCCAGGGCCAGGCCAAAAGTGGTTGTCCTTCATCAACTCAACTGGCATAACATACTACACAGAACATTATTCCACATCCTGCTTTGGTGGGCAGCGACTAGGGTCTTAAAACCTTGCAAGGGGCCATCCAGATGCAATGATGGGTCTCTCCTCATCCAGAGCAAAGAAGAATGAAGAAAACCAAAGATGCCTGGAAATAATTAGTCCAAGGGACTGGTACACCATGCAATCCTCAGCCTATACGACTATGAGACCAGAAGAACTAGATGGTGCCTGGCTACCACTGTCAACCACTCGGAGGGGGATCTACGTAGGAGATCCTGAATAGAATGGAAGAACAATGTGGAGCAAAACTCAAAATCATTGGGAAAAAAAAAGGAAAAGGACCAGGTTTGCTGGTCTGATAGAGCCTGGTGAGACCCCTGAGACTATGGCCTCCAGTTACCCTTCACGCCTGGAACTGAATTCACTCCTGTGGTTTCCAGCCAAACAACAGACAGGCCTATGGGGATATGGGTGATGATTTACATCAGATAGATACTCTCCTTGGAGCAATCAATCATGGGAGAACAGAAGGGCAGTGTCTGCACATGGAGACAGCTAAGGGGGCAGAAGTGTATGGGAGGGAAGGACACAGGGAAGAGATAACCACAGGGAGGAAGTGGGAAGAGAGCTGTCACACTGCGTGGAATTGCAGTCAATGTCATGAAACAAAATGTGTATGAACAGATATATGGAAAATGAATTTGCTCTGTAAACTTTCACCCAAATCACAATAAAAATTTAAGGAAAAAAAATCCAAAAATCTGGTCATCATTGACACCAGAGAGTGAGAGGGGTACTTGGTCCTGAGGGACAAACACCAGAGAGAAAGAAGCAAATGGGCCTCAAAGAAGAGAACGCAGGTGGTTTCCTGGATCCTGCGACCATTTCCACAAAGCCCTGGTCGCATGAAACCGAGGGCCGTGCCGCTTTAGTCTACCTCTTCAAAGCCGACGGCATCAGAGCATTCTACCACACTGCCGCACGCTCCAGTCAGGCCCCAGAGGTCTAACAGCACCTTCACACACTTTGCCTCGTCCTCACCTCACAAAGCCCTGGGAAGGTGGCTTCAAACCCAACATCCAAGATCCCAGCTGACTCCTGTTGGTGCTAAGCCTCGAACTCGGGTCCTCGTACTTCAAAAGCGATGTCTCGCACATCACTTCTCCTAGGAGAGTGGGATTTGAGCCTCACGCTTGCCGGAATGCAGAGGCACCGAAGAGCAAGACAGTGACAATGACAATGATGTGGTCGACAGAACCAGGTGGCCGACATGTTAGATTTTCAGAAAATGACGTGGTACTGCCTGTAAGACGGACATACCCCTTTCTAGACGAGGAAACAGGGACTTGGAGAGACTCGGCACCTGGCTCAGGGCCACACAGCCGACGAATGGTGGAACGGAGACCCCATCCCAAACCTAGCCAGGGGCTCCAGGAGGGCAGCTCCACGGTAACGTCTCTATAAATTTTCTAGATTGTGCCGTGACTGTGCCTACGCTCTCACACCATCTGTGTGTGACTCAGTTTCCTTATCTATACAACTGTGGGGGTGGGGTGACATGGGAGACAGAGTGGACCTTGGTTTGTCACCCCTGCTGACTCGGGGCTCCTTCTGAGAACTCAAGGAAAGGCCTGGAACTCCTCCCAGGAGAATATCCCCAGGCACCTACACACACAAAGGCAGGGCCTGGTCCGGGGGTTCACCTGCCTCCAACAGTCGGCCCCTGCTGGGACAGAGCCCATGGACCCTGGTGGAACACTCCCAGCGGAGAGAACATTCAGAACGTAGGCCACTGCTCACAAGCAGCCCGGCTGTAATTTGGTGTCATTTTTCTAGAATGTTGCAGGCAGTCTAAGAGCCACAAAAGCTTTTAAGAGTAGGAAAAGGAGGAGGGGAACGCCCTCTCTCCTCTCTCTGCTTCAAGCATGTGTTTAGTTTGCCCTGGGAGCCCTGCGGCTGCCCAGCGGGTGGGGCAGGAGGTAAGAGGTTTAGAAAGCAGAACCTGGCAGGATCCCAGGGAGGGCCGTCTGCCGCCCCGTCTGCCGCCTCCACAAAGGCCCTTTCTCCAGCTGAGGCCTAGGGAAACGTGTGCCAGCGTTGGTGAAATGGATCACCCTCAGGCAGGGCAAGAGGGCTCTGTGCTTAAAGTCACAGCTCCCAGTCTTGTCTAAAGTACTGGATGCTCCAAAGACTGCAGCCCTGGGTAGGGAAATGCACCGCTACCCGAGCCTCCAAGAAACGGCAGGAGGCACACCTCAAGGCACTTTAAATAGCAAGGTGACTCTGCTGAGAGTTCTGAGCAAAGATTCTATAGCAGAACTCTGATCAAAAGGGGAGAAAATGCAGAACAGAATTTCAAATTCTCATGAATGTCAGACTTCCTGGAGCCACTGAGGTTGGATGAACCCCTGAAACTATTGCTCTGAGATCATCTTTAAACCTTAAAACAAAAATATCCCCTGAAGTCTTCTTTAAACCAAATAATAGCTTAGCTTAACTATCAAAGATTCCTTCCCCTAAGCACTGTGTTCCTTTTAAGAACTATCTCCATGGGATCAAATGGGCAATGACAACTTGAAAGGTCACATGGGAAGCTTAGGGGGCAATGAGTTTATATCAGTGGGGAAGGGATAATTGAGAAAAGGAGAAATGCGAGAATGTTGCATCGCTGGAAGAATTTAGCAGTCACATCACTAAATTGCACTTGGACGTGTTATTGAATTGGTGTATATTTTCCCGTGTATATTTCCAACAACAATACAATAAATTATTTTAAAAAGCAAAGCCTCCCTCCAGCAAATACACAGGTCACTGATATGGATTCTGCAGGAGGGGTAGGAGGGCAAGGTCCTGGGCTCAGGTCCCCCAGGCCAGGGTGGGAAGGGAACCTGGGGTCCCTGCTTCCTGGGAGCCCACCTTAGACCCACACTGCTCTTCCCCAAGGACCCATCGGAGCACACACCCAGGAAAGGCTCAGAGGCCAAACAGGGGGGACAAGTGACCTTATTAAGGTCAAAAGAAAAAAACCAGCTCACAGGTCAAAGCCTTTAACAGTGAATTTCCCAGAGCCTGTCCCAGTTCTTGGATACCAAGATAAGGGACCCAACACAATCCTCTCGGGGAAGTCTGGGGCAGAGCCTTAGAAAGCTTTCTTGGTTGCTCATTTGCTTGTGTGCTAAAGTGAGATTCGTTCACTAGAGTTTCCCCCGAG